CATTTCTATTACAGAACGACTCTCACTCCCCTTCTATGCTTTCCGCATACATTCCCCAGTCTCAGTGGCCTCATTGAAAACAACTACAGTAAATTATAGGGTTCCTAGTTAACTAGCTTGTCCTGTTGAGATCTAAAGATGCAAATTCTATTGTAAATGCAGGATAAAATAGATGCCTGTCTTCCCTACATTTTAAGTTGCCCAATTTTCTTTACAAAGTACTGTTTCTGTGGAATTTTGTTAAGGTTTTCTAATTATGTGCCTCTTGGAGGGAACCTTAGTGTACACATTTATTAACACCTTGCTCTATTCTCTCAAGGTTTAGCTAGAAAATGTACTCAGGGCTTGTCTAAAATGTTCACTGATGTTAGTAAAGTTGGAGAGTCTGTAAGGGGCTACTTTCATCCCAATAAGTCCTTCAAATTCTAGAAAACTCCACAGGAAATACCAGTCAAAATATTCACGACTGACTTCTTATGGAAAAGGAAATGCCAAGCTCTGGACAAATTAGCCATCCTTATGTTATTATCTATTTCATTATTTCTATTGTAAGTTGGTCTTGAACAGTTCCACAAACTGGAAGATCCAGGATCCCAAATGAATTTTTTTTATTAATGTTTACAGTGATCTTTCTGTACAGGCAACATTTAGATATTAACTACTCCTTAATTGTAAAAGAACATCGATTACCTTGCCACACAGCATGTGTGTATATGTGTGTGACAGAAATTGAATGAAAGCAAAAAATAAACAAATCAAAATGCTAAAAATGACTTTTGACCAGTTTTTGTCATCCCAATCACCTTTTAAGTTTTTTAATGTCAGGTTAAACCCGTTGTCTATTCTTTTTATCTAACTGGGACCAGGAGTCAAAGGCAAACTATGGACAAATTATTCTGCTTTCTAAAAAAATGTGAATGCTACAAAAACTACAAGAGCAGTAGGCTCTGTGTGTTAGAACGAACATGGAAGAAACTCTTCTAGACCCTGACAGTGGTCCTAGGTTGAAACTCTTTTCCTGTCTCCTTCACTGCCATTGCCAACTCAGTTGCCCTCTATCAGTTGTATCTTGATAGCCAGGGCAAGGCAGTTTCTGAAGATAATATGGGTGTCTGAACAAAAAAATAAAATAAAATAAAAATAAAAAACCTCCAGAAGGAAGAAACTACAGACTGATACATTACTCCCTAAATCTGTATTAACTTCCAATTTTTCAAAAACCTTTTTTAAACTCTAAGTATCCCCTCTCCATTTGGAAGAAACACCTTTTCCACAGAATGTCTGTCCTTGACTGTTTGAAATAAATCGCCGTTTGTTGAGGTCAGACTGCAGTCTCTATTGTATCTCCCATCCCGTTAAGCTGCCTGAGAAATTTCACACTATGGACCATGGTTTTGAAGAACATCAAAGCACCAGGGTCTTCTCAGGAAAAAGAAAAAAACGGTATTTCTGAATTACCATTTGGGAATCTGATCAAATCAATTCAAAGCCTTATAGAGGCAATTGTGAAGAGCATTCGTAATTAACAACATAGTCAGCAGCTTCAGTTGGAGCAGTTTATTCATTTTTAATAAGTAAATAAATAAAAAGTAAATAAAATAGTTCATTAATAGTATATGTTTTGTAAATTGAGAAAAAAATTATCTCTATCCAGCTTTTATTTTTTGTTATAATTTGAAGTGACTTTCTGAATGACTGAAATAGGTAACCTAATCTGAGCATTGTCAAACAAGAACTTGAAATCCAAGAAGCCCCCAAATAGCTCTAGTATGGACTCACAATTCCCACTAAATTCTAGAATCTGAAGCATGAAAGCACTGTGTAGAACAGTCACCAGAAGTATGATATGACCTACCTTTGAGGTGTACTAACTCACTGAAACCTAAGAAAAATTGAATGTAAGTATAAGAAAAAGTATTTAGAATACATAACCAGGCACTAGAGATAGACCGATTAAGAAGATATGATTGGCAGGTAACATAAAAAAAAAATAACCTGATCAAGAGTATTTCAAAGAAGTAAAGAACAGTAAGATATCAATTTCATATTAGTTTACATCAGAAAATCATATTGTTGATTGGATTTATAAAATTACAAAGCCCCATAAAAACATTTCAATGGTCCTATAATGGAGTGTTTTCTCAACATGCTTTGCCTACCTACCACTTTTTGCATTTCATGCTGAGGAAGATTTTGTAAGGTAAATGGGACTTAAGGGGGTTAACACAGACTTAAGTATTTTTTTGCCTTTCAATTTGCAGTTGATTGTTAAAACAGAAAACACACTTCTCTATCCTTGAGGCAGTGAGACAGCAAAGCTTATAACGCCACTTCATGAAAAGAACAATCAAAAACCCTGTTAATCTTCTTGTACCTGAATGGAGCATCAGACAGGTCTCAGGCGTCAGCTTCCCTGACTCTATGTGGGTGTGACAAGGACAGAATAGCTATAGGACAGAGATCAGTGAAGCCAAGACTAGTGAAATAGTGAGTAGCATGGTAATCAATACATGATTCACAAGGATTTCCAAACCAATGAGACCAGAATTCCGTGGGCAACAGATCCAGTCAGAGGAGAACTGCCTTCCTAGAAACCTGACTCTCAATAAACTCAATAGAGGATTCCTCTGCTTCTAACCTAGTGCTTATAGTGGCCCAATGGTATAGAACTTTCTCTTCTTTAACATGGCATTTGTTTCAGACTTTAATGTTTCCAGTCAAAAATCACATTCCCAAATGCACTTTCAGTAACTCTTAGACTTTATTCTCTCATTTATTTCTTTCAGATTTTTCATTCCTGTGATGCCCTTTGCTTGGCACAGGGATTCTTCTCCAAACTACACACATTTCCCAGTACTTTCAAGTACAATTTACACTAAGTAGCCACTATGGGGTATTTGAAAAAAAAATGAGCAGAGTTCACCAGTTGGCCCATGAATATCTCAATGGATATTTGCCTTTTTCTAACATCACTGGCTATTGAATTAGGAGTAACATCACTCAGAAATGACCCCTTCTTAATGTTATTAAATTATTAGATTTCCTATTGGCACATACTCATGTTTACGTACTACGACGGGTATGCTGCTGTGCTGGTCAGGGTCTGGGCCAGGTTTTCAGGTTCTTGGTCCCTACTGCAAAGCACTAAAAATAAAAACCTCATAAGATTTCCAAAAGAAGCGAGATAACTTTTTTCTGAGTGAAGCAATAGTTACTCTTAGAGAGTGATGCACTCTCAAGATTGGCAGTGGGCCACATGAAGGAGAATTCTTAAGTAGCCCCATTATTTTTTAAGGTTTCCTTTTATAGGATTCAGGAAGAGGAGCATGGTTTCTAAGGGACATCGTTTAGGTATCTCTGCACTCCTATTTCTGGGTTAGGTTATGTATTCATTTTTCTAGCTGAGCATCTTCTGAACATGTAACTTTATATAATGTATCTGATTTCAATCATATGCATTATCTACTACATATAGATTTAAGATGGAAAAAGGGGAGATTATCCTAAAAGTTCACTTGAAAAACCTGGTTTCCCTTACTTTCCATTCTAATCCAAACCAGTTCAGGTTGGATCCGCTCTCCTATTCTTGGTCACAGATAGATTGGGAATAAATTTGAACAGAAACTGTCTAGATTTGTTACTGGGATGTACAAACCTATACTATTGTTCAGAGCCGGGAGTTTGAGTGGCCCTATCCAGATAATTTATGGATGTTCTGGGACTGACTGCTAGGTCTGTGCGTGGATAAGATTAGTGTGTGCTAGTGAAGAAACTAGGCTTCTAACTGCATTATTATAAGGCAGGGGTATGGATAGCCAAAATCAAATGTGGTACCTGGCTCTACCCTCTCTTGTACTGCTTCCATTCCATTCTTATTCCTTTACAGCAATCCTGTTTACTTCTGTCTCCCTACTATTGAACTTCCTTTGCACCTTTATTGCCTGTCTTCTTTTCTTTTATGTACATTGGAGTGAAGCAGAACTGCCATGTGGTTGCTGGGAATTGAACCTCGGTCCTCTGGAAGAGCAGCCAGTGCTTTTGAACCTTTGGGCCATCTCAACAAAGATTTGAATTTCTTGTAAGTAAACACCCAAGTTAGAAAACATCCCAAATATTTTGTCTTGGACTCCTCAAATAAATTGAATTGCAAGAGAAGACTGGTATTAAGACTATTAAGAACTTTAAATTTACTTTGGATAGCTAAAGGAAAGGAGGGTCTATAGGGAACTCATAGATCTCCTGGGAAAGGGGAAAATAAAATAGATTTTGCCGGCAGAGTGTGGACAGGTGGGGACAGGCAGGATCAGGTGAGAGACAGCTGGATTAAAAAGAGTGAGTGTGGTGAGAGACTACTGGAATTGCGAGGCATCTGGAAACCTAGTACAGTGGAAACTTCATGGACTCTATGAGGGTGATCCTACTGAGGATTCCTAGTAATGGGTCATACTTAATATCAACTGGCCATCTCTGTAGCCAGGCAAGGCTGCCAGTGGCAGGACTGGGTTGCATTCTGTTGAGTTGTTGGCCAAGGGAGTCTACAGCTGGTGGCTCTGTGCAAACTGACAGCCAGGCCCCATTTTTGAGGACAACATCTCCACAGCTCTTTGAATGTGGAGAGGTTGAGCTGGTAACTGCATGGAGCCTTCATCCTTACATTCTAGTCTCTTTGGTGTGGGAAGGTATTCTACATGCTACCAAAAGAGAAACGTGGACCCCAACTAAGCCAAAAAAATTTTTGACCAATAATCTGTCCTGCCTGCAAGATATGCTGGGGCAATGATGGCACAGAACTTGTGGGAGTCTTATTTAACATGAGACACATTTCATAAGAGGGAGTCCATGCTCTATACTGTTTGGATAGCCAGGAACCTGAGAGTGAATAGATACTCTAGAGACCTAGGGTAGAACCAAACATGACTGGTCTAAGTATGTACATACATACACATAATGCATATATTTATGATTCCTAATAATATTCTGCTCTACTCCTAGATCAGTGCCTTGTCCAGTTGTCATCTGAGAGGCTTCCTCCAGCAGCAGATGAGAGCAGGTGCAGAGACCCACAGCCAGACCCTATGTGGGCAGAGTCTAAATTGGAGGTTTCCATTGGGTCCCTTCCCTGTGAGGTAGGGAATCCCACAGAAGAGAAGGTCAAAAGATTGTAGAAGTTAGAGGGATTGGTGAGCACCAGAAGAACACAGCCTAATGAATCACCTATGCAAGGCACACATGGGCTCAGAGAGACTGAACTGGCTAACACTGGGCATGCAGGGATTTGCACCTGGTCCTTTGAATATATGTTGTGGCTGTTAGTTTGGTGTTTTTGTGGGACTCCTAACTGTGGGAGCAGGTGTGTCTCTGTTTTTTTTTTTTGTTTTTTTTTTTGCCTGCTTCTAGGACTCTTTTCCTCTTATTGGGTTGCCTTGCCCAGCTTTGTAATGACAGCTTTTGCCTTGTCTTAGTGGATTTTGTTGGGTTTGGTTGTTGTTTCTTAGAGGCCTGATTTTTTTTTCTGATGAGAAACTGTATATTTTCTGATAGAAGCATTACAGTATTTTACATGTAAATGCAGTCACCATCAATCCATGCATTAAGAAAATATTTATAAAGAATATTAA